GTGTCGATTAAATATATGATGCCTAATTAAAGGGCAGGGGGACATCTAGCTAGAAATGTGTAGGAAATAAAGTCCAGAATAGGACTCAGAGTAAAAGTTAGCAACTGGTATTAACAAGGATTTAGGAGTTGTTGACAACTAATTGAGTCCTTGAGAAATATGTAAGACTGTAGAGGCAACAGGGTAAACAGGCTAAGGGTGGAACCTCCATAACTCCTACGGTTATGTCAAATGTCAATGAGAAAGCACTGAGAGAACATAGCAAGGAGAGATCAGAAAGGTGGTTCAGGAGATCTGTTGGCCCAGAAGCCAAAGGAGCAGAAAGGAGAGTTACCCATTTGTGCATGTCCAGCTTTAAATATTTATTTTGTATTTTGAAATTGTATCTTTTTTTTAAGCTGACTAACTGAAGGTTCCGTGGATTCTAGTTATCCTAGTGGTAAAAATGATTTTAACAGGTAGGTAAGACTTCGTGTTGAAAGGATCAGGGTTGAATGGGGCAGGTAAAATCCAAGCATATCCCAGAGGCATGTTAAATGTGGGGAAATTTCAGGATGGCATTCACATATTTTGGAATTTAACATGTAATTCTTTTAGACTTCTTGTTGCTACATCATGGAGTTAAATATATAAATTTTAGTACATTATATGTAGTAGTTAAGCAACAGAATAATTATGTCATAAAAGTTGTTTACTTTATGAATTCATTTAGTGTAATGTCTCTATTAGTAGCCTACCCTAGAATATTTTAAGTGATTATATTAAGTTTTATTTCTAGACAATTTTTGTGAAACTTATTTTGCCTAAGGCAGGCACATAGTTCAGTTAAAATAAAAAAAGACATAAGCTCCAAAATGGGCATTGGTTTCTTACTACTTTATGGCTTTAAAAATCATTCTGAATCCTCTTGCTGTAGTGTTTACTACACCAGCTAGCAGTAGGACTTAACATTAAATTTTCATTTTTATTAACTTGACTGTAGTTGTTTCTTGGCTGCCTCTTTAGAGCCCACTGTGGAATAAAATTAAAACAGCTTTTATGATACAACAATTTTAGTTGCAGAAAATGACATTTTTCTTTTTTCCTGGGTGGCAGTGTGTTCCACATCTGGATTTTCCGCATATGCCCCATGGCTTTGGTTTCTTTCTTCTCCAATCCATCTTTTAGAGTACCGCCAGATTAATTTTTCTAAAGCAGAGCTTTGTCTATCTTCTCATCCAAAACCCTTCAGTGGTTCCCCATAGCTTCTCTCTTATCTAAGCCCAACTCATTCTTCAAAGAAAGAGCAACCCACATTCGGTATTTGCCCTTCCACGTTTTTCTTTTTCTTTTTTTTTTTTTTTTTTTGGGACGGAATTTTGCTCTTGTTACCCAGGCTGGAGTGCAATGGCGCGATCTCGGCTCACCGCAACCTCTGCCTCCTGGGTTCAGGCAATTCTCCTGCCTCAGCCTCCTGAGTAGCTGGGATTACAGGCACGCGTCACCATGCCCAGCTAATTTTTTGTATTTTTAGTAGAGACGGGGTTTCACCGTGTTGACCAGGATGGTCTCGATCTCTTGACCTCGTGATCCACCCGCCTCGGCCTCCCAAAGTGCTGGGATTACAGGCTTAAGCCACCGCGCCCAGCCTACTTCCACGTTTTTCTTGATCTCCTCTGCTGAAGTCCCGATCTCTGCTTTAGATTTCTTATTCCTCTTGCATAGCATTCATCATGGCCTTTCTTACATAAAATTACATATGAACCCATCCCACCCTCAAGAATGACTTCTTGAATGTAGGAACCAAGTCTTCCTTATATTTTTGCCCACTCCCTCATTGCCTTGTGCATAAAAGATAAAACATACTTGTTGAGCCAGGAGCAATGGCTCACACCTATAATCCCAGCACTTTGGGAGGCCAAGGCAGGCAGATCACAAGGTCAGGAGATAGAGACCATCCTGAAACCCTGCCTCTACTAAAAATACAAAAAATTAGCCGAAAGTGGGGGCACATGCCTGTAATCCCAGCTACTTGGGAGGCTGAGGCAGGAGAATCACTTGAACCTGGGAGTCGGAGGTTGCAGTGAGCTGAGATCTCGCCATTGCACTCTAGCCTGGGTGACAGAGAGAAACACTGTCTCCAAAAAAAAAAAAAAAAAAAAAAGTTTCATAATGAATGTTTGTTGGAATAGTTAAATAAGTGAAATGTCCCCTGTTCTATATAATCCTGATCCTCTTACCCATTACTTCCCCCCTCCCACAGCATCTCTCACCTTCCAATTCACTTGTAATTTAATTACTTATTTTTGTTGTTGGCATTGGCTGTCTTCTCCCTGTTGAATAGTAAATACCCTAGGGCAGCAATCTTGGGTTTGTTCACTGGTGTGTGCCTAGTGCTCAAAACAGTGCTTGTTATATTGGTTGAGTGAATGAATGAAACTTGAAGCCAAAGGTCAGTTTCTCCCTGTTCTTTGGATTATGTCAGTGGTTTTCAAGGTAAAGGACATTGTGGCATTGGAAGAGCAGGAGAGAGATGGAGAGAGACCCCAAAGCTAGCTCCTGCCACTTACTAAGTAAGCTGTGCAGCTTTGGGCAAGTTTCTTGACTCCTCTGGAGGTCATTTTCTAATTTATTGAAGGTTAATATAATTTAAATTACAATATTTATATAAGGATTACATTTTAGGGGGAAAAAGCATACCATGAAATCAGTAGCTTATGTGTCCTGATCACTGCTATTATATGCTAGACCTGGTGTCACACACTTTCCATTCACTGTCTCTGTGCATCTCCACATCCACTCTGTGCAGCAGGGCCTGTTGTATTAATAACTGTCTCACAGGTGAAAAGAGGAGGTTCCCGCTCAAGACCACATACACAGTGGTGGGTAGTGAACATCGCCTGAGACCAGGTCTGTGGGACCCTAAACCTGGTGCTTGTAACTCCTGCCTACTGTGCATTTGCTCATCAGGGGGCTGCATGATTTCTCCTTTGGAGCAGCAGTTCTAGATTTTTTCCTTCCTGCCCTAAAGTGGTTGAGGGAAACAAAGGGCTCATGAGTACCACTGGCTTCCAGGCAGTGTCTTTCTGAAAAAGCCAGGCCATATCCCCTCAAGAGGTGATGGGCAGCAGAGTCTGGTTTGAAAAATACCCCCTGATGAATTGAATTCTCTCCCTCCTGCTAATGTACTGCCACTTCCAGATCTGTTTCTTTTCTCTCCATGTCCTTTATAAAAAGTTTTTATCATTCTCAGCAAACTGACAGAAGAGCAGAAGATCAAACACCGCATGTTCTCACTCATAGGCGGGTGTTGAACAATGAGAACACATGGACACAGGGAGGGGAGCACTACACACTGGGGTCAGTTGGGGGGAAATAGGGGAGGGACAGTGGGGGGTGGGGAGTTGAGGAGAGATAGCAAGGGGAGAGATGCCAGATGTAGGTGATGGGGAGGAAGGCGGCAAATCACACTGCCACGTGTGTACCTATGCAACGATCTTGCATGTTCTTCACATGTACCCCAAAACCTAAAATGCAATAAAATAAATGGGGAGAAAAAAAAAAGTTTTTAAATCTTTGTATTTTGTGCTATACAAAGTGTATAGCGCCATGTCTAGCAGGTATAGCAGGTATTTTATACTATTCATTCATTAAGATTGTTTTAATCTTTTTGTTTTATTGTTTTTTGAGACAGGGTGTCGCTCTATTACCCAGGCTGGGGTGCAGTGGCACAATCTCAGCTCACTGTAGCCTCCACCTCCCAGGCTCAAGCAATCCTACTACCTCAGCTTCCTGAGTAGCTGGGACTACAGATTATGTGCCACCACACCTGGCTACTTTTTGTAGAGATAGGATTTGGCCGTGTTGTCCAGGCATGTCTCAAACTCCTGGGCTCAACCAATCCTCCTACGTGGGTCTCCCAAAGTGTTGGGATTACAGGCATGAGCTACCATGGTAGGCCAAGACTGTTTTAAAGATTGTATTGTTTTGGAAACAAATTAGATAGTTTAGGTTGGGATAGCCAAGTTGATCATTACAGCCTCCTCTGTTTATTGAAAAAGTACTGAAACTTTTAAGAATTTTTGAGAGATCTACAAATGCCTTTTCAAAACACACAGTTAAATCACTAATAACTTAATTAAGAAAGACTATTTTCTGTATAAAAAATTAGCCTTTTCAGGTATTTTCATTGAGCACTTAAAATTGCTAAACTAGGATTAACGGGATGGATTATTTCACATCTAAAAACATCTTTTAAGTTACAGGGAATGGATTTCTCTTTTGAAATAATTTGTCATCAGTTCTAATGCTGAAAAGGTACTTCAGAAAATATTAAAATGAAAAGATATTTCATTTGTATGCTGTAAATCATTATTTTTAATTGATTGGGAAGTTTGGTAGGAGGCCAGAGAAAATTGGCAAACATAAAATTTAAAAGGAAGGATAAGCATTTAGTTCCAGCCCCTATTTCAACAGAGATGTTTATTATTTATTTTTGTAGCTTTATTGTGGTGATTAAAGCATAAGCTTTGCAATCCATCTACCTAGCTTTGAATCCTTGCTTTTCAGTTTATTAAATCTATGAGCTTAGACATGTTAATATTTCAAACTTTGATTTTCTCACCTGTAAAGAAGGACCATTACCTTTTATCTACCTCCTAAAGCTATCTTATGACATGAAATAGTATATGCAAAACATCTAAACAGTGCTAAATGTATCCTAGGCACTTAATAAATGTTTTATTATCATTAAAATGTAATCATTTAGGCATAATGTGATATTTGAATATCTATTTGCAAATGAGTGGGAGACATTTTTATGGACTTCTATGTACAGTTGTCAACTTGGTGTGGAATCCCCTTTTTTTAAAAAAAAAAAAACAGAAGTAAACTTTATCTCATCTTGGGATGAACTATCAACTTCTGCATTAGTTAGCTTTTAACTAATGAAATTTTATTGCAAAGTATGGAGTAAGCAGATTATGAATTCTAAGTTTCTCATATAAAATTGTATTTCCTAGGAGAGTGCATAGAAGGGCTGCGGGAAAATGACTACCTGCTGATTCATTCCTGCCGTCAGTGGACCACCATCACTGCCCACAGCTTGGAGGAGGGCCACTATGTCATTGGGCCAAAGATAGAGATTCCAGTACATTATGCAGGTAAGACTCCTCGAAGGGCCAGGACAACGCAGAGAGAGAAAGGGGATGTGAATAGCTGAACTTTTCCTCTAAGAATTGTCTGTAAACTAGAAAGTAGAATGATTTAGAGAATCCAACATTTGTGTTCGGTTATCAACCAGTGAAGGCTCAGATTCATTTTGTCACAAGTATTTCTAATTAATGTATGTAGTTCAGTGGGGATTCTTATAAGGTATTTATAAGATAGAAATTTTACAAATAAAACACTTCTATAGTCTTGGAATTAAAATTAATACTGTAGCCAATCTCAGAGCTTCAGGGGGTCATGTCTCTGAATAACCCTGTGTACAACTTGAACATTGCTTTCGTGAATGACTTTGTGAAGATTTCATAAGATGCTATGTCACAAATTAGATTGTGGTCAGGTTTTAAAAGTATTAGATTGGAAATTCATATACCTTGGGCTGGACATGTCCTTCTTTTCAAGTAGGCATTTAGATTACAGGCAACTGAGATGACCTCACTGATTTAGTTAAATGAGGGTAATACCTGCCTTCTCACCTCACTTTGAACTTGACTCAGTGCAGCATGCTATTTAACTGATTTTTATTGAGTATATGTGACAGTACTGTTTTAGGAGCTTGGGATACATCTACTGGCTTAAATAAACTTTAAATATAGTGATAGCTTATAAATGCAATTAAAAGAAAACTTATGTTACCATATGCTTTTTCTGGTGCTTATAGCACATTATATAAAAGATCTTAGCCTTTTCTCTATTATTGTTCAATATTTCCCAAGTTTGTACAGGATGCCTTAATCACCTAACCTTAAATTTTGTAGCCCTAGATTGCCATTGTGTTCTCAAGTAACTCCTTTACAATGACCAGAGAGTTATTTGGAAAAGGGACCTTGCTGTATTCCCACTGTCTAGACATAGCAAATAGTATCTGTTTGATGAATATTTAATGAATGAATGAATAGTTTGGTTTCGTTTTTGATTCCTGGGAGTCTTCAATTGCCGATGTGACCCAGGCATTACTTAGCTTCTCAAAAATCCTTACTCAGAAAAAGTTATAAGAAAAAAAGAATTTCTCTGGCCTAAAACTTCGTCCTCTAGAATTGTATTTCCTAGCCCTAAGAGTAGCTTTCATGGCAAAAGAGAGAAATGTATAGCTGTAGAAAGCATTATATCTCTTAGATTGTAACTCAGGCAAATGGGGCAGTTTTCACAGGGGCAGAGAATGAAACAAACCCCCTACCCCACCCATTCTCTCATCAGAGTGGTTCCTACTACTGGTGACATCCGTGCTATTTTTAGCAAGTCCAAATTCTGGTTTCTTTGTGAAAACTAAAAAGAAAGGTAAATTGCTACATTGCTTTTTCCTCTATACTTTTACCTAATCTGCCGTATTCTTCTGTGAGGAAATTACATTTTAGTCTTTCCCCCAAAATCATTGTGAAAAGCTCTGTCAAATCAGTCTTCCCAAAAGCATGCCCTCATTTTATCACCTCCTAAAACCCCTTTAGACACTGCATCCTGCTGCTAGAACCTTTGACTTCTTGTTGAATGCCTTCCAGAGGCTGGTTCTAGTCTACTCCAAACTGATCTTTTCTACTCCAAAGAGTGAACCTCCCACTCTATAGCTACGTTAGTCATCTCACTGTTTTCTGAACATACTAGACACTTTTCCATTTACACAGTCTCTGGCTGGCTGGAGTTGCCTCCCTCAGCTCATCGGTGCATCAGGAGGATGCAGCCATCCTCTGCAGCCCCATATGGTCTCCTGATATGTCCCGTTCATTTAGCACACATCCTCAGTCTTCAGTCAATTAGCTTTTCCTGTGTACACACGCACCGGTTGGACTATACAGTCCTTAACAAGTTGTACCAATTCTAAAAAACACCCTGAAGCCTTTGGATCTGTACTCAAAAGATAATTCTTTGTGGCCATGGATGTTTGACTCAGGGACCTCAAACTTGGTTATACACTGGATTCACCTGGGGACCTTTAAAAAGACTGATGCAGGGGTCCTACCTCCAGAAGTTAATTGGTCTGGAGTGTTGGCTGGATATAAGAATTTTAAAAGCTCCCTTGTGGTTAAAATACATAGCATTATTGGGAACCCATTGTTTTAGAATGAGTATCCACAATGTGAGACAATAAGATTTCCCCAAACACGCACAAATATTTGTACATATTCTGGTGTTTGGAACTTTTGTTTGAAACAGCCATCCAGCTTCCCTTGGGAAGGAAGATGTGATCTTGTTCAGCAGCTTACTTTAGATCCATAAGGAAGATGATGGATTATGTTGCAAATGATACATTTTTAAAAAATGAAATTGAGGTGCCAATACTCAGAGGAAACATGGGCACTAAGATCACGTCATTCAATAGAAGGGAGAGAACATATATTAAAGAAAAAAAAATTTGAAATAGGACCCAATAGTTCATGAGATCTTTTGCCATTAAACAAAATAGAATGAATGGTTGGTTATGAATGCCTAAATGTTCTAAGCTGTCTTCCTGAATTTCTTCAACAAGAAGTTTAGGTAGAAGTTTTGAGATACAAATATATTCCAGTTGATCATTTTGTTTTGGGTTTTATCTCTTAAGATAACACCAATAAACTTGCTTTATAAAGTTTATAAAGACAAATTTACTGATTTAGTAGATTAAAAAAAAATCTTATAACAGGTAAATAAGACTGTGTGTTTTTATAAGTGTTGTTTATTTGTTTGTTTTGGAATAAGTTTTCACTCTGTTACCCAGGCCAGAGAGGTGTAGTGGTGTGATCATGGCTCACTGCAGCCCTGAACTGTTGGGCTCAAGGGATCTTCCCACCTCAGCCTCTTGAGTAGCTGCCACTACAGGCTTGCGACACCATGCCCAGCCAACTTTTAAATTTTTTTGTAGAGACTGGTTCTCGCTTTGTTGCCCAGGTTGGTCTCAAACTCCAGGTCTCAAGCAATCCACCTGCCTTGGCCTTTCAAAATGTTGTGATTACAGATATGAGCCATCATAACTGGCCTAGGAGTATGTTTGATTACAGTATAAAATGGAGACCCATGAGTCTTTATATGATTGATCATTTCAAGGTTATGGCAGATATATTTTGTCTCTAAGAATCTATTTATTACCAGCTTCAGCTCTTGGAAGAAAGAGAGCATATAGTACATTGTGGAGACCCAAAATCATTTATGTCTCCCTTATTTTACCAATTTTTCAGAATTTCATCTAGGTTGAGATGAATCTCACATTTTTGAGGACAATTAATAAATAGTTACCAGAGTTGTAAAGCCCACCAGCTTTGTAATCAAAGGACCTAGTTTGACTTCTCATTCTGCTATTTTCTGTCTGTATTACTTTGGGCAAGTTACTAAACCTCTTTAAATCTTTGTTTCCTCATCTATAAAGTGAATATTATTGTAGTACCTTTGTCTTAGGGTAATTGTGAAGATTGAAAGAGAAACACCTTTCAGAGTGTTTACTACTTAGTAAGCCTCCATAAATGTTAATGGTGATAATTATGATCATGTTAGCAACTAAATGTTTCTAAGATTTAACTCTTTCCCCTGCACTACTAATTACAAGCTGAATTACTTTTCTCTTCATGCAAGCTAGTTGAATACTGACATCCCTCAACATTGTTTGGGCTGCTGTTTTTTGGTTTGCTATTGTAATTTTATTTTGAAGTTGCAGTAGTATACTCCCGTATGCCATTTCCCATTTTACCCATTTTTAGCATCATTTTGCCACATTTGTTTTTTTAATCATTCTTACCCTCGTCCCTCCCCACCAAATGTACATACAAATACAGACAAATATGCTATTTATTTTTTCTCAGTTATTTGAGAGTAGACAGCATACATCCCCCTAATACTTTACTGTGTATTTCCTAAGAACAAGGATATCCTCTTATATAACCACAGCACTGGTAGAAAATTCAGTACATTTAATACTTTAATCTACTGTTGTTCCAGTTTTGTTGATTGTCCCATTAATGTCTTACTGCATTTTTTCCCTTCCAGGACAACATCCAGTCTAGGACCACTTACTGTATTTTGCTCTTGTATTTCTTCAGTCTCCTTTAATCTGGAACAAGTTCCTCAGCTGTCTTTGTGTTTCATGATATAGACATTTTTTAAATAATTCAGACAAATTATTTTCTAAAACAACCCTCAGTTTGGGTTTCCCCGTGTCCTTGTGATTGGATGAGGCTGTGCAGTCTTGGCTGCTCTGCTGTGTATTGTGATAGTGGCAAGGGATGTCCTTTGCCCCTTACTGGTGATTTTAGTTTTGATCACTTGGTTAAGGTATTGTCCAGTTCCTCTGCTGTATAATTACCATTTACTTTGTGACTACTGGGAAATTTGAGAGGCTTGAGAGGATGTACTTTTAGACTCTGTAACTATCTTGCCCTTTCCCTAAATCTTCTGACCCCATCACTCCCCTATTAAGTTAGCTGTTAATGATTTCTGTCTGATTCCATTTTCACTATGAAGGTGGCAAAACAGTGCTTTTCTAACTTAACTCCATCATTCCTTCTTTTATTTGTTAGCTGTCATTCGCTAAGGAAAAGCATTTTTTTCTCTATTTATTTTTTTACTTACCTGTTATTATCAGCATGGATTTGTGGATTCTTATGCCATTCAGTGTATTATGGTATATTGCTGTCCTTATTTCTTTCAAATGATCATATGTTTGGGTATAGGCTAGCACCTGTATCTCTGTGACATTTGGGTGGTATAGGCTGGCACCTGTATCTCTGTGACATGCCTCCTTCATTTTTTAAATCATGTCCTTATTTTATGGCATAGGCAGCAACCATTCTTTTGAATCAGTATTATCTTTTGGCAGGCTTCTACACTGTCCTATTCCAAGTAGAACTCCTCACTTTGTGATCTGTTTAAGAGGGTCTCTTGGAGTTGGGCAGTGCACAGCCTAGGCAGCCATACGCCACAGCTCCATTCACATGTATTTTGGAAAGCAATAAAACTTATCATTTTAAAGATATAT